TTATTTTGAATGGTCGATGGCAATATAAATGTCATCTATATTTTGCTGACACCATACATCAACGTCATGCAATGTATTTGATAAGGGACACGTCAGAATATTTTTTATTAATAGTTTTCTTTTTAAGCGAGAGAGCACATCTGTTATAATTTCATACAAGGATTAATTCTTATTTTGCTGTTCTGTAAATTATATAAAACAACATGTTGATTAGTTGGCAAAAACAGATCTCTGTAAAAAAAAGAAGCGGACTAATAGTCATTAATATTAAATCAATAGTTGCCTACAAACATTTTCCAATGAAATGCGAGAGCTAAGATCGTTACAAAGTGCTCAACACCTTGGAATTCACTATGAGAATATCGCCGCTATCAAAGACAGTTTTATACAATGAAAAATCAAAATAAAAGTAAGCATCGGCAAATCTCAGTAATGTCGAACTTGAATTCAATTCAAGTTTGACATATATATAGAACGATATTAAATGATTCATTTATGAGAGACGCTTCTGCAATTTAATATGTATCGGTTAATGTAATCGAAAATGTAACTTTCTTCTTTATTGATTAGGAATAGAAAAAAAAAACAAAATTTTTAATGGTTTTTGGTAGATTCTTATCTTCGGAAAAACAAGAAAAAATTTTATTGGTCAAAATAGACTAAATAAAATAATAATGTTCCCTACGAAGTTTTTTTTTATTAATTTTATACTTAAAATATTTATTGAAAGAAAAAGGAACAAACACATCCATCAATATTTTTTTTTCAAGCTAGTTCTTTTGTTTAAATCTATATACAGGGGTCGCAGCGGCATGTGTTCCAAAATCAGGAAAGCAGACAAGAAATTTTTTTTAAAAAATCAGGAATTACAAAGTTTGTTCTAATATTGCTTCTTTTGGAGTCAAATCTGCGTAAGAGTAGGTGCGACAGTCATGGTTAGTTACAACTAAAACGTAGGTTGCTGAAGTAAACACTAAGTCTTGTTGAAAACAGAATCAATTGTGCAGGAACTTATTTTTTTATTGAGATACACACACTTTTCATTGTTCATTGTTTACTTTTTGTTCTCTTCCATTGTCATGCTTTTATTCTAATTTTGTTATTCTCTCTCTACATATAAAACACAATCATGTTATAGCGATTCAGCTTCGAAAAATGTAGCCCCTCAATTAGACATTTTCAAATGCCGAAAAATAGTGTTTTGCTCAAAATGGTTGCAAAAACTAGAGAATACTGATAGATTATGTTCTGTGCAGCTTAAGAAAGGTAAAACTGCCAGTTCGTTTTAATGCATTGTGTGTTGTACAGATGATCTCAGCTGGGATAACGGAGGATGGAATGATATAAAAAAACATTTTGATCGGCCAAAACATGTTCAATGTGTGAAAGATGTGTTTGGTTCTGTTCCCCCTATTGCATCAAATGAATAATTACTACCTTTGTCAAACACTAAAAATGTTAATAGTGTATGTTCAGCAATATTATCCACAAATGAAAACACAATAAGAATTCCTTTTGTTATTATTCAGAGGGATAAAAGAGCATTAATACATGAAGAGAGTAAGTGTTTGGAGTTAATATTTACTGTTTTTATGGCAAAGTCATTTCACCAGCTAGCGTGTAAAAAGATAACAAGATATCAGAACGTGAGAAGAAACCTGGGTGAACTGTTTTAGATACTTTAATATCATCATGGAGAAAAGGATGAAAGGAAAAAAGTTGTTAGCGGAATTTCTTGAGGGATTAAAAATGCGAAACAGGATGTAACTGCTGTTTCCAATTTTCTAAAAACTGTTCTCTCCTATGCATATCGGGGTACATTTCTACACCATGTATTACTTTACATTATACAGCTGAAACAGGATAACACTCCATATGTTCTAATCATATGTTAGACATGCATTATCTCTGATAGTTTCTTGAGATCTTCTATCATAGTCTATGATGATTCCTGCAGTCTATCTATCACAGTCTGTGATGAGTCTAGAGTCCTGTCTGTCACGGTCTTTGATGGATCCAAAGCCCTGTCTATCCCAGTTTGTGATGGGTCGGAGCCTTGTCTGTCACGGTCCATGATGGGCTACGTGAGTGTCCGTTACAATCTATGAGAGGGGGAGGGGGGAAGGGGAAGAGGGGGATGAATGTAAATTTCTACCCTAAACACTTCAAGTCTTCTTTCATATTATGTTTCACAAAATACAACGTGCCGTGATCAAGTAGACATAGCCCCTATCGAGATAGATTATGAAAAATCAGAAAAAAATCAGGATTTTCGATCAAAAACAGGAAAAACAGGGCATTTTTAAAAAATCAGAAAAGTAGTACGGCTGCGAGGCCTGTATATATAGAACTATGCATACTAATAATTATTATTTCTATATTTTATGATCATATTAAGAATGCTAGTATACATCGAGAAAGTATAGGCAAGCAAATGTAGACAAAAAAAGAATAATACTACTAAATTGTCATAATCGTCAAATGTACACTGAATCATATTGATCAACATCTATACTCATTATGTATCAAAATACAGATTGAAGACCGAGAAAAATATCGCATTTATGTTTTTTTTTTTATAATCGAAACTATCATAATTAATGTTTTCTTCATCTTTATGAATATTTGTGACACCATACATGTAGTATATATATATCAGATGGAAATGAATTAATGAACCAATACATACTATACAATGAGATAATAAATAAGCTATAAGATTCCAATTTGATCGAAATTGATTTAAAAATAAGTGCAAAAATATTTTATTATTTGCTAGCAAATATTAAACCTTTGTAATAACAAATATTGATATTTTATAAAATAAAGAATATCAATCATACTCAAATCCTTGCATGTAGATGGAAAGCAAGATTAGAACAAAACTGTCCGTAAATACAAAAATTTTATTATAATCAATTGTTTTCTACTCTTTGGTAATCATCATTCATACTATTAAATATTTATAAGTGAGTATTTTCAAAAAAAATAAAAATAAAAATAAAGTTCATGTTGCCCCCGTTCTACTCATGATTGTTGTTTGCTTTTTATTTACACGGAAAACACACATGACAAACATATGAAATTATATTATTAAAGAAAAAAAAAATGTTTGCTTATCTTGAATTTTTCTTAACTTTGTTCAAAAGCTCCTTTTGTTTTTTTATTGTTTCGATAATTTTAATATCAACTTGTTTCAATTTCTGATAAATTCTTCTTTTTAGTTAGTTCGTCATGTGTGTTTTTCGCATAAATAAAAATCTAAAAAACAATCATGTGTAGAACATATGTAATATGAATTTCAATACTTTTCGAACACCCGTTATATTCATATTTAGAATATAACTATTCATATAAGCATACCTTCGACTATACTAATTAAATATACGGAATAGATCATTTATAGATGTGAAATTCATTGTATACGTAGCTAATAAAAAGTTTTATTTGAGTTCAAATCTCTATGATATGTCATAGACGATCATATTTCTAAAAGATCAATCTTCATTGTTATCAACTATAAAAATGAAAATTCTAAGTAGAAAATAAAACTTAAGAAGATTATTTTAAAAAGTTTTAAATTCTTGTTTAGAAATATAATAAATACAAACTACTTATTATATTTCAAATGTGAAAGCTAATAAAGGTTGTTCAAATAATTAACAAAAAAAAACAAATTCTACAGGTGACCGGAAATTCTTTTTTTCTTTTTGACATATTTTTTATTATGTAGAGTTTTTAACTGATCATGTTTTGATCAAAAAATGATGTTGCTTCGATGAGAAGACTTAATTTTAGTGTATGATTCCATGGATAAAATATGCTAAAGAGATATATAATATTCGTTTTGTTAGATGACTTTTCGGATATATTGTACTTAGTTAGCATTCTTTTTTTTCTACTTTTTGTTCTCGACAACTAATACCGTTTGTTTTGTTTTGAAGAGATAAAATCAATATTTGATAGTTTTGAACAAATAAAGTAACTTTAGATAGAGTGTAATGGTTTATCAATGATCTTAAATTTCATTTTGATAAACAAGAAATATTAATTATTTTCTTATTGGAAAGCTTTTGAACGTATATTTTAATCTTAATGTTAGGACACTATTAAACAAACATAGTCTTCAAGGAGATGTTTTCTATACTAAAAATTTCAGAATTTTTCTATTTAATCTTTCTGAAATATGACTTATTCGAAACGTCCATATTTCATATAATATCAATTGAAAAATGTCTACATTGAGAAAAACTATACTACTTGAAACGAAAGTCTTTCTCGAAAAATTCAACGCTTTGATTAAAACTCAAGAAGAATAAAATTTCTCCTAAAATTTTTTACAGTCTGATAGCTACTTAATATTAGAATAAGGATGATTTCGAAAGCTTTCAATCATTTGAGTAATTTCCGTCAAAAGAAATATTTATTCACAAATATTCCTACTTCTCTATTGAAGTCAATACTAAGTGTTCAAAACGAAATCTGCTAACGGTATTGTTTGAAAAAAAAAAATAATAATTGTTATATGTTGTTAAAAAACTGCATAGAAAAATGTTCGTTTTTATGTTAGACCTTGGACAAAACGATTTTTTTAGCTACTTTATGAATCTCTGATGCTTATGTATGTTGAAACTTGTCTTATTATTTTGTTTATTCATTCTATATTATTATAATAAGTCTTCTCTTCATATTGGTCTCCTCTCAAACTGAAAGAAAAAGAAAGTTTTTTTTTTTTTTTCTTATTCAATTCATATTTGTCTATTTCAATCAATCTCTTCTAATAACATATTCAAATAAATTTTAATTATTCCAACTCATTGAAATTTCAATTTTTTTGTTTGTCCCATTGAATTCGATAAGTTCTGACGTTTTTTTTTTATTTGTTTTGTATGAGCTTTTTTTTTTTTTTTGCCTTTCACTGAAAGACTTTTTGTTTCATATTCATTGTATTATTTCAATTCGACTTGATTATCTTTCTCAACAAATAAAATAATTTCTTCATGTATACTAATATGGATCTTCATTCAATTTCAGTCGAAATACAACCATCACGTTCATCAATTCAATTAAAAACAACTGATTATAGTAAATTATTACTTAAAATAGCTGGTATTAATGTTATATTTTTACCATGTACAATTATTTGTATTGTTTTTGATTTAATTGCTACATTAATTATATTAGGAATAGGTGCATTAAATCAATCATCTTGTCCTATTGAACCTCGTATACCAATTTATTTAATTGTATTCGGTAGTATTAATCTTATAAGTATTTGTTTTACTATTATAACTAGTATAATTTATTATCGACAAGATGATAAAAATTTAATTGGATTTTATTTTGTTCATTGTTCAGCAATTATAATTATTCTATTACAATTATTTAATTATATTTGGCTTATTATTGGAAGTATATGGATATTTCATGTTTTTAAAGATGTACAATATACACAATTTGATCAATCAACTTATTGTCAAGAAAATTTTTATCAATTTTCAATGATTTCAACAATTTTACAATATGCTCTTTCATTTGTAATTTGTGGTTGTAAAAATCTACCTTGGAATTTTTAAAGACAAATAAAATTTAAATAAAACTTTTATTTTAATTATAAATGTGGGAAATTTAATTGTAAAATTTTCAGAATAAATAAATTAGCTCGTTTTTCATTATATTAAGTTTAATTGAATTGAAAATGTTTTCTTTTTTCAACTGTTGGGCATTGTTTGAATCGAATGTTCTTTTG